CGGAATGAATCTTCCGCTGAAACGTGGAAATATACACTGCCACTTTTTGAGCAAAATCGGAATGAATCGTTCGTGTGTGTGTGTGTGTGTGTGTGAGAGAGAGAGAGAGAGAGAGAGAGAGAGAGAKRGAGAGAGAGAGAGAGACGATAACTCTCTGACCTCGCGGCTCACGCCATGCTACTTCCATCAATAGGATGAGCAACATCCAATGCATCTTCTACAACGCTCCCGCTGCCGACGTCCCACCACACGGTCCGTCCCCGCACACCCCCCGACAGGTGGTGCAGCTCGTCTAGAAACCCAACCCGCATGAACCCGCCCTTGCCCTGCGTCCCCGTGCACCCCCCGTCCCCCGTGCGCCCCCCGACCGCCCGCCGACCGACTCCTCCAAACCGCAGCGCCGCTCGGGKAAAGACGGGACCCGACGCACACCGGGGCGACCGAATCGAGCCGCGAAACCGATCCGGTAATGAGCGCCGCTCGGGCGAGGACGAGATCCGGCGAACACCGGGACGACCGAATCCAACCACGATACCGGTCCACAACCGCTCTCGCGTGTGGGGTCGTGGCAGCGGGCGCGGGTCTCCCATGACGGCGGGGTCGCCTTCGAAAAAGAACCGGGTCTCACGTCTGGGACCCTGCCACCAGGAGCGGTGTCTCACATGGGCCTGTCACGCGAGACCCGCCTTTTCCTTTAAGGTATTAGAAGAAGAAAAAAAAAATAGTTGGTCGTTGAAAGGACACCCTGGGGTCTTTTGTAATTCTGGGGGGCTCGTAGCGCTTCCGACGACGCTAATTTGCACTCGGACCAAGCGCTGTTCGGCCGGTAACGGGGAACCTGGGGCAACAGCTCCCGCAGTCACCATGACGGCAGTCTGGAAGCGACGTCACCTAGCTCGCTCCTTGTAGTGAGAACAGGGAAGTTGGCGAAAGTCATCATCCCTGCTAGCTTTGACGTTGCGTGCCTGACGTGTCGCCCTCCCCGACAGCACACTCCTTCCATAGACATCACAGACATTTGGTAGGAAATGATTCTCAGTCCGCGCGAAGAATAAGTCAAGATACGCTAAGTATCCTTCTCGTCTCAGCCCCTCTTCACTTTCGTCTCCCTTTGCCCTTCTCTTTCACCTAAGCAAACGCCTTGGTGTGACGCCCAACCTCACACCCGACGCGACTTCCTGATTGGAGTAAAGTGTGGGCCTGAAAGTGCGAAAAGGGGTGTACCAAGGATTTTTGGGAAAGTGGAGTCCCAGGTCAGAACTGGGATCTCCTGTGGCAGGGTTTTTCGGGGGCACGAGTGCAATTTGGAGGAGAGGGCGGACCGCCCCTGGTCACACGGTAGGTGGTATGCACGGGTCGCTCAAGGCCGGTCGAGCCATCGGGTTCGGGGACGGCGGTTTGCGGGAGGGTCCCTTCGGGGTAGGTGGGGTTCCGATGAGTCAGGCCATCGGGAGTTGCCACGTGGCGCCGGTCGTCGCGCGTTTGGGTTGGGCCTCCGAGATTCCGGGGCCCTCTGATCGCCGCGTCGTCGACAGTTTTCGCAGGGCGTATTGGGGCAGTACGGCGCTATGGACGGCCACGGGACGACGCTAAGTTGGTGATACGGAAGAAGAAGGCGGAAGGGAGGGAACTTGAAGCTGGTGGAGATAACGACAAATTCGGGGTGGGTGAAGTAGTAGGTATGGTCCGGAGAGGGGAAATCAAAGCACAGGGGGGCGCTAGTGGTGGCGTAGTGAAACTCCCGAGGGCACAGTCGGTTCTCCGTTAGGCAAGGGTATCTCTGTCGCAGGACTTCGTTTACTCACGGGGTGAAGTAGTCCGGGTCGTATAACAACGACTCCGAGCTCTCATAGCGTGTCATCATGTCATCGCTGAGCTACGAGGGTCCTAAGGGCATGTCCTTCAAGTTGTCGAAGGCGATCGTCGCGTGCAAACACGTGCAGGCCGCGCAATCGAGCCGCGCTTACACGTGCTTATACGGGACGATGGCTTGGCCACGTTCGATCAGACAATATCCCCGCAATCGATAATCCCTTTTGAGATTTGACGAACCGACGCACGGGAGCGCGTGTAGGTGTGCAGATGAAGCTGTGTTGACACGTGTCCTCGCGCGGCGTTCGTTGGGCCAAACAACTGATCATCTAATCACTCCGTGTGTTCGAGCATGCAACCAACGCAATCAGCCCAATCAAGAGACAAACAAAAACGAGAACAGGATTGCTAATTGCGCAAAATTTCTATCCTACTCACGAGTACATCAATGCAATAAACAAGGCAGAGGCAAGGATCGGGTAGAAAGATAAGCAACCAAACATGGCATCCATACATTCATTCATACAGCAACATACACACAGTGCATCGGAGATGGAAATCATGAAGACAAGTATGAGCAAAACCCAAGTCCAGATTCCGAAAAACAGAAAACGGGCAGATCGCCCGGAGCCGAAATCAAAATTTATGTGCACAAGACAGGAGGGAGAAAAGATAAAAGAAACAGCAACTCCGCGTCCATCAACCTCAACTCCCTCTTCCTCTCTCTTCTTCTCCGATGCGGACAGCCCGTCGTCGCGCACCAACCCACAAAGTCGTCACCCCGCTTAGTCCTCCTGCACCCGTCAGGTTCGCCCACGCCCACAGTTCGTCGTGGCCCGCGTCAACCCCGTGCGTTTGGCACCAGCTCGTCGGGTCGCCCAACTCCTGCTCTACTCACCTCTTACTTCGCTCGTGTGTCGACCCTCTCTGATCGCGCAACCCCGAGCTTCCAACAACGGGTTAAGAGAGCTAACTAATCGCGCATCCTGAATTTATAGTGTGCATACATGCACGAAGAACACGGAATTACAAGGATTTAGAAAGAAGATTAGAGAGGGAGCGCCTGCGCTCTGCATGACCGGGCCGCGGCGTGGGGGACGTAGCCACTCTCCACGCATCGATCCGAGCATGCAGACCGTGGCTACCAAAACGCAGCAAAGGAAAGGGAAGGAGGGCGGGAAGGACGAAGCACAAAAAGAAAGATAAAGTTATGATGGCGCCAACCCAAAATTACAGTTACACATCCGACTAAAGGCGCCGACTAATCAGAATTTCGTTGCAGCCGCATCAAGAAGCGCGTAAGCAAAAAACGTCGCGCGGCAAAAGAAAAGTCCTAATTATAAAATTCCTAAATTCCTAACTAATGCGGAAAAGCAAAAAGCACAAGTTTCGGAAGGAAAGTTCGGAATTCCGAGAGCCATCGGGGATCAACAAAATTCGAAAAAGAATTCAAAAAGAAAATTAAAAAAGAACGATGTATATTTCCGCGTGATGTCTGCGCCTAAATTCCCAAACCGAAGAAAAGAAACGACGTCAACATTTATTATTCGCGCGCTCGGCGGCGCGCCCGCCATCCACCCGACCAATCAATCACCCGTCCCGTGACACACCCAACTCCGAACTCAGCCAATCGAAAAGAATCGACGCAAAAGATGAAGAAGCAAGGGTACTGATGCAATTTCCCATCCATCCCAATCTCCCGTAATTGGCCCGACCTTCCCAGCTTAGGACCCCTCATCGCTATCGCGCAGGAAATTGCGCAGTGCGGAAAGTGGTTCATCACATATGTGACGCCCAGGGGGTTCCAATGTTAACAAGCTCTTGCTTGCTTGTTAACATGTGTCGATTTCTCTAATCGATCGACACGCGGAGCTCCTCTCTCTATGCTACTTACCGTTCGAATGAGTGTGGACGTCGTCCATCATGGCAACACAGCTCTGCTATAAATTCCTCAGGGAGGGCCCTTGACAATCCAAAGAGGGGGTTACACGTGTTGCCGTTATGACACGTATCGATTAGTCGTGCATCAACGAGCGCCAGGGAGGGGAAAGGGGAGACGATACATGGAGGGGTGGCGAGGGGGAGGGTTGATAAGTAACGGGGGAAGGAAGCTTTCCATTCCGGCTATCGTCTCCGGAAGTTCCTGATAGCGAACGATCCGGTGAAAGCGGGGGAATCGGTTGCTAGTGTGGGGGAGGGATGCGTGGTAGTCGGGATAAAGGGTGGTAAAGGTTCGAAAAAGGGCCGCGCGGAAGTGATCGTGGTTCTCGCATGCAGGGATAGTCCCCGTAATCATGCAATATACCTCGATCATATTGTGGCCTCGCCACGCGGCACTAAGGAAAAGGATATGGAGGCAGAAAACGGGGAGGGCGCATCGGGTGGAAGGGTGAGGATGAAGAGTGACAACGATGCGGGTAGTGAAAAAGAAGCGGAAGGTGTCGATGGGGAAGGTGACACGAGTGGTGATCTGGCGGAAGGAGAGGTGATCAAGGGGACGGCGGGATAAGGACCGGGGGCGAAACCCGATGCCCCGCATTGGTACTTGGACGAGTTGGTGGGCGGTTGGCAGCAGAGGGGGAGGGGGATTGGCTTCGTCGCCGTCTTGCCGGTGTGGCTGAAGTCTCGGCAGTTGTCTCTCCATCTTCGGGCTTAGGTGGCTCTGGATCCTGGGTCGAATCATCGGTGCGCGGCTGACCAGCTGCGCCAGCGAATTCCAACCGTCGCTTCCTGGGCGCGATTTCTTCCCTCTTCTACGCCCAGGCCCGCTCCCGAGCCTCGTCACGCACCTCCTCTTCGAATCGTTCGTACTCCGACTCCTCTAATTCCTCCTGGTCTTCTTCTTCTTCGTCATCTTGCTCTTCTTTCTCCTCCTTTTCACTCTGCTCGCCTTCGTTGTGCTCACTGTAACTCCCCTCCTCAGGAGTTTCTTCCTCGTCGGCCACTTCTTCGACCTCTTCTTCTTCTTCCGAGCTTTCTTCTTCCGCATCAATCTCTACTTCCTCGTTCTCGAAAGCCGACCGACCTTGGAAGAAGGCGAGGTCGACTATATTGTGAGGGTCCAGATTATCGCGCTGTGATGGTGGGTTGTGGCCGCTTCCTGGTTCCTCCAAGCACGCCGACCACTGAAGATATGGCGCCAAGGTCCGTGCGAGAACGTGCGGGACCAGGTTGTCGTCGCTCTGCGCGACGATCTCGAGTGGGAGATCGTCGGCCTGCTGCGCAAGGGGGACCGTTAACTCGTGCACGATCAGTTGGCGATGGTCGGGCCGCACCGATTCGAAGAGGAATCCGAGCAGATCGCCTTCCACTTCCGTTCGCCACGCCTGGATGATAAGCAACTCGAGGTACTCGGCCCACTAGCGGTGATCCCTGTGCCGCGTCCACGTGACCCTTACTCCGACCAGACACACCGACAGGTCAACAAAGTGTTTTCGCCAACGCCTCCACTGCAGGGGATCGAGGAGGGGGACAACAAGTGATTCCAGTCGAAAGGAAAGATGGGGATGGACTCCGGACTGCCAGATGGTGGGAAAGAAGGAGGGAAGATCGAAGGTGGAGATTGGGGATGGGTTCATTGAGGACGGGGGAAGGGGATGAGTTACGGGAGCACCACCGTCGGCTCGTGCTGGAAGGTTCGGACCCCGTAGAAGTCGACGCCATCCGTGCGAAAAAGGTTATCTTCGTGGGGCGTGAACCAACGATTCCACACCGCCGCCAACTGTTGTGCCCACAACCGGAGTGACATCTTGATAGCTGTGTGTCGCAGTGGGCCGATGGTGCTGATGTCGCCACTGAAGGCGACCACCATAGACACGTGGCTGAATCCCGGAGGCGATCGCCGATGGACTCCTACGCCTCTGCTAAAACAACCGCCCGGGGACTTCCTGCAAAACGAAACTCAGCAGCCGCGTACACTCCCTGGGTATAGAAGAACTGTGCAAGTCGCCGAAGATCTGGATTGAGCCGCGGATGATGAACTTGTCGAATCGCCGAGATGTGACACCGTGGCACTAGCAGAGGATTGTCGAGAGCTCGCTCCGTAAGAAAACTCATGGCGATGGCGATGGAGATGGAGAGACAAGTGATAAGCAGTCGTCGTTTTCTTCCGCAGCGGAGGAGGAATCGGACGAATGCGAAGATGGGGAAGGAGGAAGGGGACAAAGGTAGGATACGTGGCGGATGATCGGACGAGCCGATCGGCTGTCGGAGACCTCTGGCGCAAGCCGCACGGTGTTCACGCCGTTGGGTCCGAGCTCAAGCACGCGGAATCGCCCGAAGAATCGTGGCGCTAGCTTGCCCTGGCGAGCACATTTCCTCACTTGCACGATGTCCCCCAATTTGTACTGGGGCCGCGGACCTGCGTTCCCGTTCCAGGCCTCGTAACTTCGGACTTGTCGGCCATGGGCCAACGCGGTCATTTTCTGGCGTTTTCGGGCTAGCCTGGGGAGGGACCGTTCCATTAACTCTAAGTGTCGCTTGGCTTTGTCTCGCGCTGTGGCCCTCGTGCGCCGGTGGTTAAGCGTTGATTCATCTGGGAGGCTTGGTATCGAAACGCAAGTGACGCTATTAGTCCTTAATTGGAAGGGGCTCAGGCCCGTCGATTCATGGGGCGTTCCGCGATGGACCGCTAGGATGTGATCGACGATATCGGGCCAGGGCCTCGGATCCCGTGTCGCGATGTTTCGTCGCAGCGCTGTCTTTATCACCCTGTTGGCGTTTTCTACCAGCCCATTAGATTGTGACATGTGGGGCACGGTGTTCCGGACAGCGACACCGTGTGTGACCAGGTTCCTCCATACTTCCCCTCTGAATTCTGCCCCATTATTGGTCAGGATTTCTCTCCTATCCTGGTGCATTCCGAAAATTCGGTTAACATACCACGCAATTTCGACGGCTTGTCGGGTGCGACATGGGTAGGCCTTGATCCACTTCGAAAAATGGTCGACGAATACAAACAGGACTGAATATTCACAACTATTAGGACCAGGGGGTACCACAATATCGGTAGTATCCATACTCACCCTTTGGAACGGGCGTTCAACTACCGTTGGTACTATCGATCTCGGCGGCTGGATCGACGCCTTGTCAGCAGCGCAAACTTGACAGTTTGCGACGATGAATTTCACATCGTCTCAAATATTGGACCAATACGACTCATTTTTGTCGATTGCTGACTTTGTAATCCGAACGGCAAAATGGGTTGCCGTTTCCTCATGTACCGTCTTGACCCAGTCATACCTCATGAACGGATGCGGTACAACCATCCAAATCCCACTGCCGTCCATGTTCCATTTTTCTAACCTACCCTTTATCCATCGATAATCCCGAACCCTTTTATTAGCTTTCCTCCGATCTTTCTTGGTAAAATCTTGGAGGGGGTTACCAACTAAGGTGGCAATCAAAGCGATGTTGGTCCACACTTCGGCCCTTCGAAATTTCCGGGTATTTTCCAAACCTTCTGACGTGGCATCCAGAAAGCGAGCCTCGGTCGGGATCTTGTCAACCCGACACAAGGGGCATAACCACGGTTTACTGTCGTTTCGGTATTGGATGCACGAGCCATGGGCTCGTGCGACACACTGTCGGCAGTCTATCCATTCCACATACCCTTCCCCGTTAGGACACATGGAACAGAGTATACGCGAGAAATTGCTTCGCAAAAATAACAAAATTTATCAGGGAGGGAGAGAATAGACGAAGAGGAGAGGGAAGAGAGAGGGGTAGTGGGGTTACCTCCGTCACCCATTGCCACCGGTCTGCTTCTTGTCACGTGGGAGAACTGCCACTTGTCCGTACATAGGCCCGTTTGCTGGTTCTGACTCCTTCCACGGAGTGATTTCCTCGCCCTTCGGTACTTTAGCGGGTCGATGCAGGCGTGTCAGTTCGTCCGCGTTGTCGTGCCTCTCTGTCTTTCGGTGGATGATGTCCAAGTCATACTCTTGTAGTCGCACCGCCCAACGTCCAATCATGCCCGCGCAATTAGTGAGCTTCTTTAATGCCAGCAGGGGTTCATGATTCATCACAAGGCGGAACTTTTGTCTGTAGAGGTACAGATGGAAGTGCTGGATTCCCCAGACTATTGCATAGCATTCGCCTTGGGGTGTTGAGTCATTCCTCCGTTCGTCTGACACCGTTCACGACGCGTACTCGATGACATGTTCACGACCATCGTTCCCCTTCTGCGCTAGAATAGCGGAAATAGCTTCCGGTTGCCAGTCCGTGAAAAGAATGATTCAGAACTGTTTCGAGGGGTCCGGTCGGATCAAAATAGGTGCGGTCGCCAGAGCGTCTTTGAGGGTCGCGAAGGCCTGCTCACACTCCGCGTCCCAACTGAGAGGCCGATCCTTTCGTAACAGGTTCGTTAGCGGCCGTGCAATCGCGGCGAAGCTTTTAATGAAACGGCGATAGTACGATGCCAATATCCAAGAAGGCTGGAACCTGCGTCAGCGACGTGGGAACTGGAGCTTCTTTCACCGCTGCGACCTTTCTCGAGTCAGGCCACAATCCTCCACGTGTCACGACGTAACCCAGGAACAAAATTTTCGAAAGGAAAAATTCGCTCTTTTCGAGTGCGATCTTGAACCTAGCGTCCCTCAGCGCTCCCAACGTCCACTCAATGTGTTGTGCATGTTCGTGATAGGTCTCCGAGTAGACAAGGATATCATCTATGTATACGATCACGCAAAAGTTGATCATTCCCTGAGTTAGCCGCGTCTTGTTGACGAAGTTCTGGAATGTCATGTTTATCACTCGTTGAAACGTGGCAGGCGCGTTGCAAATCCCCATCGGACACCGAACCCACTGCCACGTGCCTTCAAACAACACGAAGGCCTTCTTTGGCCGATCTTCTTCCTTAACCAGAATGTGATGGAAGCCATGTCGTATATCAAACTTGCTAAAATAATTAGCGCATCCAATCGCATCCAGCAAATCATCGATCCGAGGGAGGGGATACACATCTTTAATCGTGATTTCATTCAGCTTGCGGTAATCGATGTATATGCGAATTGATCCGTTCTTCTTCGGTACTAACATTACTGGAAATGACCATGGTCCGGTGGTGGGTTAAATCCATCCACTTGCTTCGAATTCTCGAATTCGTTCGTGAGCCTTTTTTCGTTCTATCAGGGAGTATCGGTAGGGCTTGTAGTGGATTGGGGAATGATTTCCCGTCTGAATTTCGTGTTGGATAACCAACGACAAACCAATGTCAGTATCGGTTACGCTAATCGCTCCCTGGTATTCTATCAAAATATCTGCAATCACACGGTGAATCTTATCAGGTACGTACTGTGGGACGTGTAACTCAAATAGCTGATCCCAAATCCGTACGTCGATCTATTTCGTGCATGCTTGTTTTGCCACGTCGGGCGGTGGCGCAGAGATAAACGAATGGTCCGATCGCCAGGAGAATACCGTGGCCATCATTTGGGCGTCTTCCTCCCGGATGGCCACGTGTCCTTCTGGGGTGATCCCATCGCAGATATCCTGCCATGGCACAATTTTAGTTGCGATTTTTATTCCCAGTTCGTCTGATTCGGCCTCGAGACGCCCAGGGGGTTCCAAAGAGCTGGCCGCCGCCCCTAGACGTAACGGTCGTACTTCCTTTGCGGGTGTCAATAGGGACTTCGATAGATCTGTTATATCGCAGTAGTGCTTCTTGTCGTTGTATCGGGCAAGGAGAAGGGAGATTCCTTCATACAGGGTTTGAGGGGGTTCCAAGGAATCGACCATCCTCAAAATCTGTACGAGGGGTTCTCCCAAAATCATCGCCTTGGTCCTTTGGATGCTCCTACTGGTTAGATGCATCGTTCTTGCGATCGTTCTTGGCTACGGGTAACAAATACGCTGTCGCGCTAGCTTCAAGATTTCTGGATCATTTTCGTCACCGCTATCCGCATCCTTCGATGATGGCTCATCGTTCGCAGAGTCTTCCCAGGTGATCATACGGAGAGTCCCTGCTAACATCGGCGAAACTCGCGGGACTGCGTTGATGGTAGTACGAAGAGTCAGTCTCATAGGTACAACATACGGCTTTCCTCCCGTATTTCGGAGGATGATTGACCGTCGTTCGAAATCCAGGTTCGCTCGTAATGCCACAAGAACGGGAAGTCCGAAAAGAACGTCGTAGGTATTTACATCTAGCACCACGATATCTCCCAGTGCATGCACCTTTCCCAATCGGAAAGTGACATTGGTCATTCTTCCCACTGTTTTAATCTTTTCTTCGTCTGCCGAAACAAGCTGATCCTTTTCTATAAGCATGATCAGGTCGTTTTTCCTACCTGCCCTCTCAACTTCTCTTAGTGAGATAGCCAGAACAGTAGCTCCCGAATCAATGATTGAATTGTACGGAATCCCCCATATTTCAATATCGTATTCCGCAGATTTCCACGGGATGGGTTTAATCCGTAGGAAATGGTCGTCTTTCTGTATTAATCCTACCCGTATTGGATCCGTCGTGTCAGCCGTGTTTTCTTCTGGTATGGGACTTTTAACCTTTACGTTTGTGGTTCGGGCGAGGGCGAATCGTTTTCGGTTCGCCTTGCAATGCTGTAGCATCCGCTCATTAGCCTGTTAGGAGATCGAGAGCACATGTCGGATCGGACGTGGAATCCGATGATCCAGGGCTCGGATGATGTTCAGCACGTCGATTTCACCTATGACAAAGGTGGGTCCTCCCGACTCCATCTCTCCGGGAGAAGGTCGCCACTCCGCCACTTCTTTCTGTTCCGGCGTCGGTCTGATCGTTCCAATCATTCCAAGCAGGATAACCAAACGATACATACTGATCTAACGGGATGAGCGGCTTCTTCCGTAGTTGCTAACGCACTTTCCCCACCTTCCATTTCTTCCATCAGGGTTCCTACTCGTCTAGGTCTGTTAGCGATAGGAGCTGCGGCCATTGGCACAACTCCGACCCGTTGTTGCGGGGGTCGGTGGGGGCAATCACGGGCTAGATGCCCTGGCTGATGGCATGCATAACAGACATTTAGATTGCTTGCGGCTCCTCGGAGAACAGGCGCCGGGGCCAGTCCTTGTTGAATCGGAGAGGCACACACCGCGATGGGCCGCATGTTTCTCATCATGGCTTCTAACCGAGCGTTGTGCTCTCGCTGTTACTTTTTTCTTTCCTGGATTAGGCTAATTGATGTTTTGGCTAGTTCGAAGATGGCAGTAGATTCATTTGTTCTTACAGGATTCTCAATTGGTGGCGGGGTTGTCGTTCTTACAGGTGTTGGCATCACAAGAACAGGGACACTCAGGATCTCACTTGGGGTCGGTCGTTTAGGGCCCACCTGTTCTAGATAGGTGACTGGGTCAGACACAAATCCCATATTTTCGAACTTGTTCTTAATGCGGCCAGCTCAACTCTTCTCCTCGCAAGTTCAGACGAATCTGCTTCCCTAGAATAGTCTTCTTCTTCCAGGAAGTTCGTCGCGAACTTCCGTTCCATCTCTTCTACAGCGGCCATGATCTGTTGCAGCGTGTGATTGATGGGGGAAAATTGCTTTCGCAGCTTCGCCCTTATCGTTCGGCTGTGAAGCCCACCAATAAACAAATCTCTCCCGACTTGCTTGCCTCGCTCAGTTTTCACAAACATTCGGTAGAACCAGTTTCGGTATTCTGCGACAGACTCGAGAGGTTTTTGCACTCGGTCCTTGATCATGTAAAGTGCTTGCTCTGGATGGACATAATCAAATCGATTCGGAAAATCTCGTTCGAAGGTCGGAAGATCAACCCATACATAGGTACTAAACCAACCTCCTAATCGAGCAGGGATATTTACATGCGCTTCGTTATCATCATACTGCTATGCTCGGAGCGTGGCCAACCATGCTCTTGCAAGATGATGTGCTGGGTCGAATAGATAAAGATCAGGCGGCGTCATGGGAGCACGTGCTCGTGGGGAGGGTTGATTAGGATTTGGCTGATTAGCATTCTGTTGCGGATTCGGGTTCTGTACATTAGCATTCATTTTTGCTGCCCGTCGATTAGCCGATCTACTTCAAATGATGAAGGGGTCGCGTCTATGCTCGTTCCGGGGTCGAGGTCGCCCTCGGTTAGCTAGATCGCCCAATTAGCATGCTATTAATCCTAAGACCCGGCCACGTGTCGAGCTCCGATACCAACCTCACGCCCAGTGCGACTTCCTGATCGGAGTAAAGTGTGGGCCTGGAAGTGCGAAAAGGGGTGTGCCAAGGATTTTTGGGAAAGTGGAGTCCCAGGTCAGAACTGAGATCTCCTGTGGCAGGGTTTTTCGGGGGCATGAGTGCAATTTGGCGGAGAGGGCGGACCGCCCTTGGTCACAAGGCAGGTGGTATGCGAGGGTTGCTCAAGGCCGGTCGAGCCATTGGTTTCCGGGACGGCGGTTTGCGGAAGGGTCCCTTTGGGGTAGGTGGGCTTCCGATGAGTCAGGCCGTCGGAAGTTGCCACGTGACGCCGATCGTCACGCGTTTGGGTTGGGCCTCCGGGATTCCGGGGCCCTCTGATCGCCGCGTTGTCGGCAGTTTCCGCAGGGCGTATTGGGCCAGTACGGGGCTATCACTGGCCACGGGACGATGCTGAGTTGGTGATACGGAAGAAGAAGGCTGAAAGGAGGAAGTTGGTGGAGATAACGAAAAATCCGGGGTGGGTGAAGTAGTAGGTATGGTCCGGAGAGGGGAAATCAAAGCACCGGGGGTCGCTAGTGGTGGCGCAGTGAAACTCCCGAGAGCACAGTCGGTTCTCGGTTAGGCAAGGGTATCTCTGTCGCAGGACTTTGTTTACCCATCGGGTGAAGTAGTCCGGGTCGTATAACAACGACTCTAAACTCTCGGAGCGTGTCATCATGTCATCGCTGAGCTGCGAGGTTCCTAAGGGCATGTCCTTGCCGGAGGCGATCGCCACGTGCAAGCACGTGCAGGCCGCGCAATCGAGCCACGCTTACACGTGCTTATACGGGACGATGGCTTGGCCACGTTCGATCAGACAATATCCCCGCAATCGATAATCCCTTTTGAGATTTGACGAACCGACGCACGGGAGCGCGTGTAGGTGTGCAGATGAAGCTGTGTTGACACGTGTCCTCGCGCGGCGTTCGTTGGGCCA